GGAAGGACCATTTGCGCAATCAAAATGTAATTCAGGGTGCAAATGTTAAAAAAAAAAAAAGTAAGAATATTTTGCACAATAATATTGAAAGATACAATTGTTATATGCTAATTATCCTTTAATATGTGGGGGTTATGGCCTTGTTTGGGCTTCTTTAATTTGATAATATATTATTTTTTCTATTATTTTGAATCACACATTTTCCAATAAAATAATATTACACATACATTCAAAAAAAATTCCTTGTTTGTTAACGGTTCAATATTCGAAACATCACTATTATAAAATACTCTTTTCTCGAAAATCTAATTATAATGAATAATTAGATTTTTAAGAAAAGTGTATTTTGTATAGTGTTTTTTTTTGAATAATGTGTAGTTAAAAAAAATGAATTTTTTTGAATTTATGTGTAATATTATTTTATTGAGAATGTGTGGTTCAAAAGTGAGTGAGTGTGTGTGTGTGTGTGTGTGTGTGTGTGTGTGTGTGTGTTTATATATATATTGAGAGTATGTACGTGTAAAATTATTTTATTGAAAGAATGTTGTTGAAAATGAGGTTGAAAAAAAATGAATTTTTAGAAAATGCGGATCAAACATTGGCTAAGAAAAATATTGATTTATTAGTGAAGTATAAAATATTAATTAATTCAATGACTTTTAATTCTTCAAAAGGCACAATTTGTTATTAAAAAATTATAAGCATTGATAATAACTTGTAATCTCATAAAAATTAACACAGTAAAAGTAAATCAGTTTCAGTTTCTTCCTCGTTTTTTTTGCAAGCGTGTTTAACTGTGGTTAAAAATTGACCAATTAATCATATCATAAAATTTAATGAAAAATGGTTAAAATTTGTACAAGTTCCTTGATTTTCTTTTTTCTATTGTTATGTGAAACTAAAATGCAAAACATTTTAACCACTTTTAGCGGGGATCAAAATCACGTTTTTGGCAAAATTCGATAAAAAAATAAATATGTGATTAAAAAGTTGTGAATTTCATTAAGGGGTTGTCTGTTTCTGATTTTGGATAGGATTTTAATTGTTTTTTTTACCGTTGCAAGAGGAGCCAGCTGCAAAATTTGACTTCCTCTCTCTAAGTGGGACCCATGTGCTGAAAAAAGGGTAAAAAAGTCAAATTTATTGGATGACAAAATCGGAACCAAGCAGACGCTAAATATGTAGTTGAAATTAATTGTTGATTTCGACTTAAATTAAAATCTTCATTTTAATCCACACCAAATAGGAGCATAATATATACATTGGATCCTAAAAGAATTGATGAAAATTGAAGAATGAAATTCAAATTTTCGTTCTCTGAGGGTAAGTGGGAGTCCGATCAAGAAAGTGGGTTTGGATATGAGAATTAGATTGAAGGGAAAATTACCTTAAATCAGACATTTAGTTTCACATTTTAAAATTTCAGGTTTTCAGGTTTTTTATTTTTTCAAAAATTTGTTTTTTATCATTTTAATTAAATAAATAATCCTTTGAAACCCTAATTTATCCATTTCCCACACAACCCCACCCTCGTTTTTCTCTCTCTCTCTCCATCATTTATCTCCTCCGTCGCCACCTCCTCCTCATCCTCCCTCCCTACCTTCTCCTTCCTGCCGGAGCGCCGACCACAGCAGCATCGATGCTCAGTGTCGACGCTGCCGTGATTCACAGCAGCGTCGAATGCTAGACGCTACCTCCTCCTCCCTCCCTACCTACCTTTTCCTCCCTGCCGAAGCGTCGACCACAGCAGCATCGATGCTTAGTGTCGACGTTGCTGTGAATAACAGCAGCGTAGCAGCGTGCAGATCATGGGGCGTTGCAGATATGGGTTCTTTCCTCCATTTTTTATCCAGTAAGTGCTACTCTGCCCCAAATTAGCTCCAGATTGTATGTGGAGAGGGGATTTTGTGAAGTTTTCCTGAAATAAGAACTCATTTTCTCGTGAGTTCACTGGTGATTAGCTGGTCAATTACTAAAATCATTCGATATTCGTTTTTTGGTTTGAAGGAAGCTTTTGGTTCTGCTCCATCGTGGCTGTGATAATAAAGTGGGCGGTCTGGGGAGGAGGTGGCCGTGGTGGCAATGGTGGTGGGATGGGATGTGGTGGTGGTGGTGAGTGTGATGATGGAGATTGTGTAGGGGCTGGTGGTGTAGGATGTTGGCTGTTGGTGGCGAATGCGTGGATCTAATATTTTGGGGGCGGTTGTTCTCTCCACAGTTCTTGAGGTTTTGTGACTAATGAAGTTAACTGTGATCTTAATAAGACATCTGTGACCCCAGAATCGAGTCGTTGTTTTTTGTTATTGTTGTGACTAATGAAGCTACCTGTAGCCTTAATAAGATATCCGTGACCTCAGATTTGGAGCAGTTATCTGAATTAAGCTAACTGTGACCTTAATACTGCTNTATATCTTCATTTACAATTCAAGGGGAAATATTAGAGAGAGGCTCTCAAATAACAAAAATAAGAGCAAAAAGGAGGAGACATATTCTTTAGAAGCTTTATATAAGTTTTGATACAAAACATATATTCCAACATACGTCTTTGCAGATTGTGTTGAAGAAGAAGACATTAAGGAGATAATTCAAAAATCATTAAAAAGATTCAAGAATTAAGATTTTTTTCTATCTTTCTTCTCAATCTTTAATTCCAAATATTGTTTTTGTATCGTTTTAACTAATTGTATAGATGCTAGGATAATTAATGTTTGTTTTGAATGCTTGTTATGATCTTTGAGTCTACCACGAACTACATTTCATAGTCCTCCAAAATATCAATAGAAATCATATATCAACTCAAAAGAATCGAATACTTTGAAAATATGAAAATGATTAAGAAATTAGATCATCTTTATATCCAGGGGCGGAGGGAGGGGTGGGCTCTAGCCCAGCCCTACCCCAGCCCAAAAGCAATTTTTTATTTTTTTTTAAATATTTGGTTTAAATATTTGGTTAATTGTGAATCATTTCAGTTTTACACTTAGGTTGTAAATAAAATTAATTGGGCTAAAATTAACATTTGAGCTCGACAAATTTTACTTTTTTAAAAAAAAATTTCACCATGAATTTGCTTCTGAACTGGGAATTAATTTCTGGGCTAGGCTAATTTTATTCTTTTTAGTTTTTCTCCGTGAAGTTTATTCTGAAATGATGTTGTTATCAAAATAAGTAATATGTGATATATTTAATTTTATTAGTTTAAAAATATATTTGTTAGAACATTGTTACGAGTGTTCAAAAATATATTATGACCAATGTTTTAAACTTATAGAAAATAATATATAACATTAATATATTAAAAATCAAGTGCGATTTAAGTTAAATTTGAAAATTAAATAAATGAAAGGATGAAGGTGAATATTACAATTTAATTAGCTTGGATTCAAAATCAAATTAGTCAATTAGACATACATTTGGAAAATGATTTTTGATGGACATTTTAACATTTTTTTATTATGTCACTATCCCATATTGGAAGTTTATGAAACTATTGGAGAGAAGAGCATTTATAAAAGACATTATCTCACATTAAAAGTTTATGAAACAATTTGAGATAAGTGTATCTATAATATGAACATGACATCCAATAATTTTCTATGGGCATTTGAATTATAATCTATGAGGTCCATTCATGAAGTTAAAAAATTTTAAACTAAAAAAAGAAAAAAAAAATCAAGAAAACCACCAAACTGCGACTAGTTCATCGATTTACGGTTGAACCGGTCGGTTCAGTGGGTTTTGAACGGTTCTGTCATAATGAGTTAGCTGTGCATGATTTTGCCCGATTTTTGGTCGAATTTTTGTTTTATCATGTGGTTTAAAACATCTTTTAGTGTATAAGTTCATTGGAAAAAAAAAAAAATTTCAGTCCAGCCTAAAATATTTCCTGGCACCGCCCCTGTTTATATCAATCATATTAAGAAAAACAATAATTTTGTCGTATACTTCGAAAATATCTTAAAATCTATGAAATACAGCAGGCCACGTACTGAAAATTTGGACCATATGTCACAGGCTTGGAGACCAAGCTTTTTAATTTGGACCATTACTTTGTTAGCGTGGTTGGTAAGGAAATTGACAATCTTTTGTTTCGTGATGTCACTTGGTTCGTTAAACCAGAAAAATTAACCACCAAAATAATAAAAATAATAATATAACATTTCAATACTCTATGATAAAAAAAAAAAAATCTCTAATATTCAATATCAATATGTTCAAACCTGTAAAAAATTACTAAATTAAACAAACAATCAATAAATAAAAATTTAATTATAAATTGATTTATTTTTATAGAATTTTAATTAAAAATTGATATTTCTTTAGAGAAAACTTGAAGAAACTATGAAAAGAAGAGACTGAAAAATCTTATAAGAATTTTTATTTATAAATTTTATTATTATTTTTGTGAAAGTCTTTCAAAAATTTGGTATGAATGAGAGAATTTTTATGAGATTTTATATTTAGGACGTGTCTGGTGCTGATTCTTCATCAATTTAAAATTAAAACATTGACAGTTGCTTTGTCAAGATAGACCGCACCTCTGAGATCTCTGGTCAAATAAGACGACCTACTTTTACACGTAACGGCTATGAAATCAATTTTCTTTTGTTTCAAAAAGCACGTCCAGACAACCCCTTATACTTCTATTCAAAAATCAGTATGTGATAGATTTTTGCAACAATTGTTGACACTTTGAATATCGTAACTTTCTAAAATATTTTGATAATATTTTGTAACTACTAAAAAATTTGAAAAGTAACAACCCGTTTGCCTATCTTTATCTTTTAAATTTTTTTCCATTTTAAATTCATTCTCCTAATAAAATATTTTAAAAGCACACTACCCAATAATTCAGTATTTTAAAACTCGTTTTCTACTCTTAACGCAATTTATCCTGAAATCTAAAAAAATCTTGAATTGAATCTTGACTTTCAAGTGAATTGGAGGAGTCTTAGAAAAGTCTACCTCAAATTCGCCGGACATAAGTAGTTTAAGAATCCATGTCAATTGCCTTCATATTTGTCCGATATCCAGAAGGAAAAAATATTTCAGAAATTGCAGTTCTATCTCTCTTTGGGTAATTCAATTCTTCAAAACTCCATTAACTCTTAATTCTTTACTTTTCTTTGTTTTATTTTATTTTTTCCATTTTCATCAGTATTTTTTCCCCATTTTTTGTGAATTGATTCCTGGGTTCAATGAAATGCATACTGGGATGTCAATTGTTGTTTATCAGCTGTTAATTCATGGGAAACAAGTACAAGTTCCATTTTTTTCCATAAAAATTGCTCAAATGTTACATAAGGATGGTTGAGGTGTATTTGGCTAAAGAATTAGCTCGCTAATTATGATTAGGAAGAAATCATGTGAATGATCTCTTCGTTTTTAGCTGCCCAATTGGAAATTTAAAGACTTTCTGATTTGTATGCTTCTGAGTTTCATATTCTTTTGGGAGAATTGGGACATGCTTGTTACTTTGATGTTGGCAGTTCCAGATCATTTCTAGTTACATATGCTTGAAGCCTACGCTGAGCTTTACTGTTTATCATTATCGTTCAAGGTTTTATGTGAAACTATGTAGATCTAATTTTCGATTTCTGGTAAAGCACAAAACCTCTGATTTAATAAGAATTTGGACATTTTAGAAGTTAAAAGTGAATTAACATTGTGATGTCCACAGCATTTGGACAAAAAACTTGCAACGGGCTTTACCGGATGAACACTTTTACGAGATGTTTGGCATATATGATTGATATAAAGATGGTCTACATGGAGACACTTTTGGACTATTTTGGCCTATAATTTTTGAATTTTCTGTGTGATGGTTTTCTAGAGTTGAAGTAGATTCGTAGAAGATTTTCGCAATGCCACCCGCATGCTTATCTATATTCCTCAATATAGCAAATCTGGCATTCAATTTCATTTGTCTACTGGATCCCATATATGGACAGCATCTACTATAGGCATATGCACCACATCTGTCTGTACCTCTGTCTACTGCAAGAAATATTCTCTGTACTGTTTCTAAGTTAGTGACTCCATTGATAATTTTTTTTTTCCTGCACCCTAATTTGGAACTCTAGTTGAGGGTTTTGCACCTAAAGATGAATTGCAGTTCCAGGAATGTTGAACAAGAGCTTGATCGTATCAGCAACCTCCCAGAGCCAATTAGATGTCTAATCATCTCAAGGCTTCCAATTGAAGAACTTGTAAGAACAAGTGCTCTATCAAAGAGCTGGCATAATACTTGGAAAAATGTTCCACATCTTTATTTTGATCTAACGCGAATGACAAAGGCTTGTAGGGAACTTTTTTATCAAGCCAAGAGAAAGAGGCGAAGCCATTGTGCACAATACTTTGTGGCGTGTTCTGAGCAGAGTATCAATCAGCTTCATGATGCAGCTAGATTAGTTAATACTATCCTCAATGCTCACTCTGCCGCTCTCACTAGTTGCAGGATTAATCAATTTCCAATAGGTTTTCAAGAGCCAGTAGAATCTGTTGAATATCTTACCCAAATAAAAGGAGTTCAAGAACTGTATCTTACTGGCCGACCTTTGATAAGAATTGGTGGTGAAAAGCTAAAGCCACGCCCCTTTCCCTCATGGGGAAAGACCCTTCAAGTTCTTGAACTTAGCAAATACACCATCAAGGATGCATCAATTTTCATAGGATGTGACAGTTTGCATACATTGAGGCTGAAGATTGTTAAATTAGACAATAAAAGTATGGATGAAATACTGACTTACTGTGAAGCCCTTAAAGAATTTATTCTAAGTTCTTGCACTGGGGTTGAAAATCTCATGATATCTAATAAAAACCTCAAAATCTTGGAGCTCCATAATATTTCCTTTAGTCTAATTAACATATATGCTGAGAGTCTAGCTGTGCTTGTGCTTGACAACATTCAGTGTCCAGCTAGTTGTCTCATCATTGAAGCACCTGCGGTGGTGAAATTGGAAGCTTTCCATGTACGGAAAAAACAAGCGATTGATTCTCTCAATCATGAAGATTGTTTCGAAATGGAGGATATTCTGTCCCGTTGCTGCGGAATCTTGGTAAGAGAAATCCTAACTTTGTAGTCACTGATATTATTTTCTAGACTCTGCTACCTTTTTTTTTTTTTGTTTATGTTCTTCCGTTTTGTTGTTTTGGGGCATGTGTGTGTGTTGTAGGGGTCCTGTAATGATGCTGGGCGTCCTATATCCACTCAGACTCTCTACATAAGTCCATTCAAGAAATTGCTGATGTTATCATTAAATTTGGACCTAAACAATATCAAGGAGGCGATAATACTGTCTTACTTTTTCAAAGAGTGCTCTGGCCTAAAAACTCTACATATATGTATTCCTGTAAGTACACACTCTGAAATAGTCTGAAGATGTTTCAATGGGATGCTGATTGTTAAATTGTTTCCTTTATCTTCTGCATCCCCATTGAAACAAATACATAAAGAAATATAATTAAAGATAAGAAGTTAATTTCTTAATAAACAAGATAAAGAAACGAAAATCACTTTTGTTTTTCTCCTCCATTCTTTGATTGCAGGCCGACAGCACAGATAACTCGAACCAAGCTTCGGGAAACCAACTCTCATATCCTGAGTATTTGCTCTGGGATGAAAAGGAGATATTTGAAAGCATAGAATATAATTTAAGTACGGTGCACATTACACAATTTAGAGGAACGGAGCTTGAAATAGGATTTGCGAAGTATATAATCACTAGAGCTCCAAAGATGAAAACGATCATCATCGATTGTCAGGATAGCTGCACAACTGATGTGCTGAGCTTGAAGAAGCTACCTAAGGCATCTGTGCATTTGTCTGTTCGGATCATCCCAGAGTATCAAGTGTCTAGAAAGAGAATTTGCTTGTAGAATATGGCCATCCATGAAGGTCATTTGACATATCTAGTTTTCCTTGAAGTTTTTAGTTTTTTATGCTTTTTGAAGTTGAATATTTGGGAATTGAAATAGTTTGAAAGAATTCTATATTATTCGCATCCTTCTTTTTAGTAATCAGCATTCGGCATTCTCATATTTCTTTAACCATTTATCAGCAATACAATGGAAGTAATATATCCAACATGCTCGTTCCAAATTGTGTGAATATTTTTTTGATGGAGAAATGCAAATGGATGAGGCTATTCTGTGCATGTAACGAATGGTAAAAGCTTCCATTTTTGGGACCTTGATAACTTTTTCTTGTACATATTCGTATTCTGGATGTGAACATGTTTAACTGCTCAAGACAGCTCGAGAAAATGAACCATGTGTTGGATAAATATTTGTCAGCGGAGTAAATTTGTTTTTGTTACATTTTGAAATTAAATATAGTTCATTTTTCGATAAATTTGAGTTTGCTTTTTTTATATTATAAATTAAGTGCTTAAGTTGTTAAGCACAGACATATTCAATTTATAATTCTACTTAAGTTTTATTGTCCACGATACTTAAATAATGGCGAACACTTTATTTTAAAAAGATTTTCTCAATTTTATTGAAGTTAACTTTGATAAGAAAATTGTATGTACAACGTATTGGTCTGGACCACTTGAAACTTAATTTCACTCTTGTATGTAAGATCAAATCACTAGTCATTATCTCGATGTCTTGAAAATTAAAGTGAAAGAATTGGAAACAAATACGCGCAACATAACTGAAGGGGTTTTTTAGTGGACGGTTAGATTTGAGCTCAATAATTCAACATTAATTGTTGAATTATATTGTGACGTGTTCACCTGGGACTACAAGATAGAAAATGAAATTTAAAGATTTAATGTATATTTGAAAATGCATTGTGGTCATTTACTTGTTTAGAGTACTCAACGTTGTCTTCGAGGGTTACACACAAGAACAATAAGTTAGATAATATAAATATTATTTTCATATAATTATTTAATTATATATAACTTTAAAAATTTCAGTTAGATTGACGACGCAATCTCATTCTTTTAGTAAAATAGAATGAAATTAATAAATTTTCTCAACCAATCAAGAGTTGACCAGGTCAAGATTAATTCATTGAAGTTTAGTTTAATCCATTTAATGTTTTCAAAATAAGAATATGGAACAAATTATAAATTGTAATCCACTATTAACTATAGTAGAATTAATTAATTAGATTGGGACGTGCTATGTATGTGCTATTTATACATGGAAAGATTGTCATTTGGATTAGAACTAAAGGGAAGTGTCCTTTCTGGTTATGGAAAGTTTCCTTATCCAAACTAAAAGGAAGAATTCTTTTTGGATGTTTCCTTATCCAAGTCATGTCCATATTATAAATATGTTTATATTAAGATTCAAGGGTAATTCGTGCAATACCCCATAACTTTACTGATTTTGCGCAATGCCCTCTAATCTTTCATTTTGGCGCAAAACTCCCAAATCAGCCAACCTTTGCGTAATGCTCCCTACCGTCAATTTCAATTAGTTTCTCCGTTAAAATGACATTTGAATGTCAAAGTGAATAAACTCACCATGGACTTTTTCGTCTCATCATCTCTACTGAAGACAAAGAATAGTGAAGAAGACGACGATGACAAAATACTTGATGTGTGGTTTGGAGGTTGCCATTGATAACGTATTTTGCTATGCTGCAAGTTTTGGGTGCATTGAAAGAACAAAACTACGAGATGTGCCAAATTGGGTACCATTTTTTACAGTTTTGTTACTTTCGAAAGTTCAGCACTTGAAATTGTTTATGTGACATTGTCTATGATATATAGAAAGAAGGTCCATTTCTTGGATGCTCTAAAGAATTGGGTGAGATGTGGAAAGAACAAGATGAAAATAATGTGTAAAAACATTATAAAAAACAATCGCAAGTGTACGGCTCGTTCAACTAATAAAATGGATTTTAGAGTCCAAGTATTGTTCCCACAGAGATTTACTAGTTCGATTTTACCTATTCTGACCTTAATCGAAACGTGAAATGTGGTTGAGTTTTGTAACTAAATTGTAGCTAAACTAAATGAAAGCAATAATTGATGAATTAGTTGAACTAAATGTAAATTATATGACTGAATGCAAATTGAAGTAATTCATAGAAAAGAAAAGCACTAGGTTCGCGAATCCCCATGCAATGATCCATTTTAATTCTAATTCTACAAAATTGACAATATGTTTGAATTGATGAAGAATCAATGTTTCTAACATATTCAATAATCTCTCTCGAGTAGAATTGAATCTATTTTAACATACCATTTGACTATATTTATATGACAAATGCAATATACAAGAATGTATGACGTTTTGTAAACACTTAGAAATTCACGTAGAGTATATTAGTATATTTCTATCCCCTATCGGACCCTACGATGATTTATACCCTGTCGACCTTATTTCTTTCTTTCGAATGCATAAAATAAGCCACCACACTCATACAGCTATTACACATATAATTGTAGAGAAAAAAACAATGTATATAAATCATTTAATAATTCAAAACACATTTTAATGTCAACAAAGTAAAATTNACCTTAATAAGACATCTGTGACCCCGGAATCGGGTCGTCGTTTTTTGTTATTATTGTGACTAATGAAGTTAACTGTTACCTTAAGAAGACATCTGTGACCTCGGAATTTAAGCAGTTATCTGAATTAATCTAACTGTAATCTTAATAAGATATCTATGACCTCGAAATCAGACCAATTATCTGAATTAAGCTAATTGTGACCTTAATAAGATATCTGTGACCTTATATTTTTTTTTGATGAGTAACTAAAGAAGTTAACTATGAACTTAATAAGATATCCGTGACCTTAGCATTGGAGCAGTTATTTATACTAAGCTAACTGTGATCTCAATAAGGTATCTGTGACCTCGGAATCGGTATAATCGCAGGAATTAAGTGCGGTCGGGAAATAGTCGCCGGAGAAGTAGAGGTGGTGGAGGTGGGTTGGGGTGATTAATTATATTATATTACAATTAAATATTTAATTTAATATAATAATTGTAAAATATAATTAATTAATTCATGAAAAAACATGATTTTTGCAATTCTAAACATTGGGGGCCTGATTTTTGATTTCATGATAGATAATACCTGATCCATAAATTTTTCCCTTGATTGAACTTGTAGTTGGTTATTTCAACATATTGGATCGGGGTCGAAGCTGGACGGGCTTCCCCTGAAATCCACCCCGATTGCAATAGGAGCGTATTTAATTTGGATTTTTAAAAGATTTTTAAGGTTTGCTTGTCATGATTTTTGTGTTTCGCTTCTACTTCATGCAGAAGAGCTTTCTGAACAAGTTATTTTAATTTTTTTTTGAAAACTAATTTTTAAAAGAGTTTCACATTCCAAAAGTTTTTTTTTAGGAGAAGTCATATTGAATTAGCTTTCTCTAAAAACTTTTCTAACTAAAAAAAAAAAAAATCACTCTCATAATATTGGTCAAATGGATTCAAAAACAGATTTTGTAACTCAAAAGCTCATTTTTACTTTTCAAAAACCAATCCAAACGATCCTTACAGACTTTTTAAGTAAACGGACTTTGTAGAGTTTAACGAACTTTTACTGAATCAACGAAAGTCTTCACACACTTTATAGACTTTATATAAAATTTATATATAACTTATTGCACATCATTCTTAACTACTATTTGTATGATGAAATGATACAAACGCACACTAACAAAATCATATTTTCATGTCAACAGAAATATAATTAAAAAGAATATAAAAAATATAAGTAAGCTAAATCAGAAAAATTAACCACCAAAATAATAAAAAAAATAATATAACATTTCAATACTCTATGATAAAAAAAATCTCTAATATTCAATATCAATATGTTCAAACCTGTAAAAAATTACTAAATTAAACAAACAATCAATAAATAAAAATTTAATTATAAATTGATTTATTTTTATAGAATTTTAATTAAAAATTGATATTTCTTTAGAGAAAACTTGAAGAAACTATGAAAAGAAGAGACTGAAAAATCTTATAAGAATTTAT